TTGATACCACCCATCTCAACCGCCATTACAAAGTATGCGCGGCCAAACACGGACTTATCCCAGGCTGTCGAACACAATTGTAATTTGACAGTCCAGACGCCGGTGATTCTGCTGCACCCTTATTCACATGGGTGTATTCGAAGGAGAGAGCTCGAACCGGAATGGTGAAGCATGTTGCTGGTGCTGAGTTGCCTTTGGCATTAATTGACAACCAACACTACGTCTTGCATGTAAAAAAATAGCTGCAGCCAAGGTACGTTGGGGTAAGTCGAAACACTCTTCGTTCCGATACGCTAATAATATATTTAATGCTATTATTAGTATTGTTAGAGAATATCATTGCGAAAGTAAAATTCGTTCATTTACTTTGGATAATACTAGTGTTGATAAAGTAGTTGCCGATAAATTGCATAGGATACTGCAACCTGATTTTGGTGGGTATTTGTTTCATACTCGTTGTGTATGTCATATTTTGAATTTAATTGTCCAAAATGATTTAAAACATATAAAGGATCAACTCCAAAATATTAGGAATGCACTAATATATATTACAATCTCCCCAAGTACAAATCAAGCATTTCAGGATTATTGTGTTGAAATAGGAGTGCAAAATACTAAAACATTTGTTAGCAACGTAAGTCATAGGTAGAACTCTACTTACTTGTTATTAAAGTCATGTGAAGGTTTTGAACATTTAATAACTGACTTTTATAATAACAGACATGTTAGAAGTGATAACGAGCGTATGTTGACCGAACGTGATTGGTAAATAACTTTGAAAATTAAAAGATTTTTGACATTTTTTTATGAAACCACTAAGATTTTATCAGGTGTTTAATATCCCACCAGCTGCATGGTACTTGAACGTCTTTATATAATTGCAAGAATATTTTATAAATACAAAAATGCCCCTAATTTTAGTGAAATTATAATTGCTATGGAATTAAAATTTAGAAAATATTGGGGGAAGACTTACCTATGTTATTGCCTTTAACAGTACTAGGGGTGGCAAATGGGTCGAGCGGTTCGTCGGCTCGGCCGCTCGGCTCGCGATAACGGAGTTCGTGGGCGGCTCGAGCTCGTAAAAACACTAGCCCGAGCGCGAGCCGGTTCGGTGGGCGAGCCGAGCCCACTCGCAAAGGAAACGAGCAGCTCATTTTTAACGAGCCACGAGCCCAGCTCGTGGGCTCGTGTTAAAAAGTGACTGTTTCGGTAACGGTCACTTTTTTCAGTGATCGTTTCGGTTCCTAAATTTTTTTTTTTTAAATAAAATTATGACCATTTCGATCCTTTAACTTTTTTCTTCTTCTTCTTCTATAAATAGTGGCATTTAGCCACTATTTTTTCTACAATTCACTCTCAACTTTCTTGTGTTGTGTCGATAGTTGTGCAATTTTTATATACAATTTATATAATATCCAATTCTCATTTCTCACTATATTTATTGAAATTTCATCCAATTTTCATTTCTCACTACATTTGTACAATTATTCTTTTACTAGTTATTACTTATTACAATTAAACAAATTGATCCACGTACATTTGTCGAAAACTTGTTCAGTGTGGGAGGAAACGAATCGTCTATAACACTGCAAAGTCAATTTCGAAATCAATTTGAAGGTCTAAATGACATACCCCTACCTGAAAATATTCCAGATTTGAATCTTCATCATCATGTAAGCGACAATCCAAATTATCTAATTAATTTGGATGATGTTCACGTTCCCGAAGCGGAACACAATCAAGAAGAAGATACTGAACTAAACATTCCTGATGCGAGGGGAAAGCGAAAGGGGAAAAAAAACAAGCAAAATATTGATATCACTTTAAGTTGATTTCAACGAGAAAAATCGTCAATGGAGTCCCAGAATTCAAAACAATATGTAAATACTGCCAACAAAGATTGACATGGCAAAGAGGAATTAATACCACCCATCTCAACTGCCATTACAAAGTATGTGCGACCAAACACGGATTTATCCCAGGCTGCCAAACACAATTTCAATTTGGCAGTCCAGACGCCGGTGATTCTGCTGCACCCCTATTCACATGGGTGCATTAGGAGGAGAGAGCTCGAACCGAAATGGTGAAGCGTGTTGCTGGTGCTGAGTTTCCTTTGACATTAATTAACAACCAACACTACGTCTGGCATGTAAAAGAATAGCTGCAACTAAGGTACGTTGGGGTAAGTCGAAACACTCTTCGTTTCGATACAATACAATATTTTATTGAAACAAAACAACAATTAATAATGAATTTACAAAAATATGAGGGTGTCATATCTTTAACTTCGAATATATGGGAAGGGATTAATAAAAGAGCATATATAACTGCAACTGCACATTATATAGACTGACTTTGGTACATACATAAAAAAATTATTGCTTTTAGAATTATTGAGTTTCCTCAAAACGCTAATAATATATTTAATGCTATTCTCAAGTCATAATGCATTACTTGCTGAATTAATTAATTATTTCAACCAGAATATGCCAACAGATAAAACAATTAAAAAAAGTTCTGACGAAGTAATTGAATTCTGACGAAAGTATGTTTAATGCTATTATTAGTATTGTTAGAGAATATCATTGCGAAAGTAAAATTCGTTCATTTACTTTCGATAATGCTAGTGTTAATGAAGTAGTTGCCGATAAATTGCATAAGATACTGCAACCTGATTTTGGTGGGTATTTGTTTCATATTCGTTGTGTATGTCATATTTTAAATTTAATTATCCAAGATGATTTAAAACATATAAAGGATGAACTTCAAAATATTAGAAACGCACTAATATATATCACAATCTTCCCAAGTAGAAAACAAGCATTTGAGGATTATTGTGCCGAAATAGGAGTGCAAAATGCTAAAACATTTGTTAGCGACGTAGGTCATATGTGGAACTCTACTTATTTGTTATTAAAGTCATGTGAAGGTTTTGAACATTTAATAACTGACTTTTATAACAATAGATATGTTAGAAGTGATGACGAGGGTATGTTGACTGAACGTGATTGGCAAATAACTTTGAAAATTAAAAGATTTTTGACATTTTTTTATGAAACCACTAAGATTTTATCAGGTGTTTAATATCCCACCAGCTGTATGGTGCTTGAACGTCTTTATATAATTGTAAGAACATTTCATAAATACAAAAATGACCTTGATTTTAATGAAATTATAATTGCTATGGAATTAAAATTTAGAAAATATTGGGAAAACTTGCCTATGTAATATCCTTTAGTTGGTACTATTACTACTATATGTCTACATTTTAAATTCTTTTCTCGAACAACGCTGTGCGTACCTTTGCATATAATTTTCTAAGTAAATTCCTTCTGGAAGTCTTTCACTTCGAAAATTATATATAATCTTCGAAATGACAAACTTCTATATAATTTTCGAAGTGAAAATTTCTGACAATTGAAAGGGCATTCGATTACCCTTTCAGTTTTTAGAAGGGATTTATTTCGAAGATTATATACAAGTGGACGCGCAGCGTTGCTTGAAAAAATGATTTTTAATACTGTTTTAATTTTTCTTTTAAAAATTGTACACGAACAATTGGAACAAACAAACAAACAATAGAATTTTTAACTCCCCCTACTCTAAATTTAAGTAACCAGTCCCAAGCCCGAATAAAAGAGAAGGGTTTAAATTTTTTACCTAATTTTTTATATATAAAAAATTCACGATTTAAAAATTAAAATTACTTTACTGAGCGAAAATATTTAATTTATTTCAAGGCATTAATTCGTATAGATATGATTTATCTGCAATATGTTCATCTACTACCACTACCATGTCGTCACCATCTGTATCTCATTCTCATCAAACATCTACGGGCTCAAGTCATAATGCATTACTTGCTGAATTAATTAATTATTTCAACCAGAATATGCCAACAGATAAAACAATTAAAAAAAGTTCAGACGAAGTAATTGAATTCTGACGAAGGTATAAACGACGTTGGCCAGTTATATCTGCGATTGCAAAAGATTTGCTGACACCTCTGGTTAGCACTATTGCTTCAGAGTCTACTTTTAGTACAGGTAAAAGAGTTTTGAGCGATGTCAAGAGCCGACTGAAAGAATATATTTTAGAAGCGTTAATGTGCATTAAGGATTGACGAGACACTCATTTTCGATTCCAAGATAAATATGCCGACATTGCATATCGTAAAGCAGGAGGGTTTATATTTTATCTATTTTAAAAAAAAAATAAAGATTTCATTTTTATTCTTTTCTATCTCTTTTAGTTAAAAAAAAAAGAAAAAAAAATTTCCTCCAATTTAATTAAATTTTTGTTAGTACTTGGTACTATTACTACTATATGTCTACATTTTAAATTCTTTTCTCGAACAACGCTGTGCGTACCTTTGCATATAATTTTCTAAGCAAATTCCTTCTGGAAGTCTTTCACTTCGAAAATTATATATAATCTTCGAAATGACAAACTTCTATATAATTTTCGAAGTGAAAATTTCTGACAATTGAAAGGGCATTCGATTACCCTTTCAATTTTTAGAAGGGATTTATTTCGAAGATTATATACAAGTGGACGCGAAGCGTTGCTTGAAAAAATGATTTTTAATACTGTTTTAATTTTTCTTTTAAAAATTGTACACGAACAATTGGAACAAACAAACAAACAATAGAATTTTTAACTCCGCCTACTCTAAATTTAAATAATCAGTCCCAAGCCCGAATAAAAGAGAAGGGTTTAAATTTTTTATCTAATTTTTTATATATAATAAATTCACGATTTAAAAATTAAAATTACTTTACTGGCTCTCGTGAATATAAGAATTATTTTCAGAAGAAGAGTGATGCTGGAAGGAGTGGATTAGATGGACCGCAAAGTCAACCCTAAACCTTTGACAATTATGGGAGTTAGCAATGTTCATAACTCAGTGTGTGTACATTGTACACTCTTTTTGAGCATTTTCTCAACGGTCAACGCAAGCGAGTTGAGAGAAACAAACTCTGGTCAACGAGATAACATGCACGTAATTTCCCGTGTTTATTGCATTCTAATCTATTCTACATTTCTTATGTTCAAACTCACAAAAGCTCGTTTAGGAACAATACTTTTGATGCCGCCTACATACTGAACTAAAATCTTCCAAGGCCATTACAGCAATATTCTCTTAGCTAACGACTGAAAAAGAAAAGTAACTAGTTCACAAAATCTTCCACTTGCGCTCCACTGCTGCAGTGATTATCGATATGCAGTATGCAGCACTCAGAAACAGCCAGATGAAAATTTGATGAGAATTACTTGATGTCATATGTCAAATTGGGTAAAGTAATCCCAAATGCTTGAGAAAAGGAACACTCATTCACATGTAACCGAATTAACAGGCGTGCTTAAATCAGATTATATTCCTTTGATGACTAGAGTTGGCATCCTTTTAAAGCATGACATGAACAAAAAATTTACTGTGTTAAAGAATGAGTGAAATCATATGAGTTGAAAGCAACATTGTTATACAGATGATATTTACTGACTGCCATTGTAGTGATTTAAAATACTATTTACAGATCACAGAAGAGAGAAACAATTGAAAATTTGCTTACTTGATAGATAATCTTCTACATAATCTTTATCAATTTTCCCATGGGCCATTGCTCCAACCTGTATATAGAACATATCATGTAAGCTATTAGTTTCCAAAAAATTCAAGAGATTATACGCAATACTTGAGCACAAGCTGCCTACCACAAAAACAAGGTCCATGTCATTGTCTAAAGTACCCACGATATCAACCAATTTTTCTGAACTGTGCGAGAAGCCTGAAGTCCAACAAAACTGCTCGATTATTTTTATGACAATAATTGGACAGAGAGAATACTGAAGAAATAGAGAAACCCCAACCAAACAAAAAAAAAAAAGAAAGAAAAAGACCTTTCCAACTTTCTCAATTTCTAGAGAGGCCTTTTCTAAAATAAAAATAACCCCAGGTCACTTGCCCCATGTCTGCCGGAATAATAGGGATTCCGGGCATTTCATAAATAACTTGCTCTGCTTTCTCCTAGTCTAACTCTGAGTCTTCTGCCTTTATTTTCTTTGGTGAAAGTGGTGTATCACTTTCATCTAATTGTTCAGATTCTTCTTCTCGTACTTCTCTGTCTTCTTTCTCTTTTGCCCTATCACTTTGTACGACTCCACCATTTTCCATCCTCTCTCCTTTTTATTTTTACTTTTTGAATGGTTAGAATGGTTTTCTGAGCGCTGAAGATGATATAACAGGAACAAAAATATTAATTATAATATGAACATGGTAACAACGATATGGTATAAAAAATTAAGCTCCCAACAAAAGGTAAAAGGGATTAAAAATAAATTATGGGCTCACAAGAAAAGCTTACTGGAATAATTACTGGCTGATATTGGTATACTAACATGCAGATATATCCAAATATGTACATGTATCTTGACATAAACACGTATTTAAGCATGTATAGAAATATGCACATGTTTTTATCTGCAGAGAGAAGATTATTAAGCTAAAGGCTTACCCTGCACCGATGGTTTAGGGGTGGGCATGTCCAGTTTAAGAGAACCAGACTGAACCAATGGTTTCATACACAGCACAGGAACCAGACCGGTGGGTTTCGGTTCAGTTCCATTAATGGTTAAAGGTATGTTTAAACCTTTAACCATTAAATCTGATTTTGACGTGTTAAAACAGATCTTACTGAAAAATGAAACGTATGAGTGAAGCAAGAGGGTCTTAAATCCCTGGAAATTAATAGTGTCAAATTAATTTTCAACAGTAGAAAGCAGTGCAGAGCTTAAAAACTACAAGAAAGAAAATGTACTCTCTCCACAATTAAAAAACTAACAGAAACAAAAACAAAAAACCCAATACAAAGGTGCTCCTCTGTATGAAAAAGTGACTGTCAGAGTAAATATAAAAGACAACCTTTAAACTGAAAGTATCATGTTCCTAAATTAAAGGTGCAAAAACCTACTTAGAAAATTAATAATATGTAAATTGACCCCAGCAAGTCTCCTGTTTAACCCACACGCGGAACCTATGACATCAAAATGGAGTAATGAAGTATGGAATTCTTTCTTCTCTCTCAAAGAAGAAATAAAATCAGAGGATATGCCAAAACCTTTTAAAATATAGAATGAAGAAAAACTAAACAAAAATGTCAAGAACAATGATGAATTGTGATAGCCTAATATCAAGCTCAATTGCATCCTGGAACTTGAAAGCACAAATCTCCTGTTTAACCCACACGCGGAACCTATGACATCAAAATGGAGTAATGAAGTATGGAATTCTTTCTTCTCTCTCAAAGAAGAAACAAAATCAGAGGATATGCCAAAACCTTTTAAAATATAGAATGAAGAAAAACTAAACAAAAATGTCAAGAACAATGATGAATTGTGATAGCCTAATATCAAGCTCAATTGCATCCTGGAACTTGAAAGCACAATGAACACTACAACAGTGCTGCTTCACTTGCTTAAATTGACAAAAGGAATTAAACAAAACCATAAACTTCATCATTCATCCAGCAGACTTCAATAGAAGCCTGTATCTCAATTCCTCGTTCAATAAATGTAAATATGTTAATATGACTGAAGTGCTGAACTTCAAAATCAAGAAAATCTATATTTACACTGAAAAAATCAGCATAGTGAAAGATTAGGGGGTGTTTGATAGATATTTTTATGTAAAAATGTATTTTAGAATAGTAAATTTATTATAAATGTGTGGTTGAAAAATAAGGAAAAAATTTTTATTTACGTATAATATTATTTTAATAAAGAATGTGTGGTTGAAAAAAAGAGGGAGAAAAATATATTTTGAAGAAAATAGCTACCAAACGGGGCTGAATCTACATCAACCTCAAATACCATGAGATTAATGATACCAATTGAAAATATAAATTAAAAAATATATATATCATCCAACAAGCATTAACTGGAAATTAATGAACTAATCAGTAAGCCTTAACGAAATAATAATAATAATAATAATAATAATAATAATAATAATAATAATAATAATAATAATAATAATAATAATATAACCTAATCCAGCTGTCAAGCCCGAAATTGGAAGGAACGCAGTAAGCGTCAAAACTTTATGAATGTAAAAACCAGGGAAAAAACGTAACTTTTTCGGACTAGCGAAAAATCGTCCAATAAAATTGATAAACAGATAAAGCTCTTAATGTTTTACCTGGTTGAATAAAATATAGTGTGGAAAAACAGATTCTTGGACGGATTTGGATAGAAATATCGAACATCATCAAATATAATGTTTAGCTCAAACGTCAAAGAAGCGTCTCCTGTATTTTATATGAAATTGGGTTGGCGAGAAGTATGAGAAGGGGAATTTTAAACTTTGAAGCTCAACAGCATGGATTCGTCAAATTCTGATTTTGTATTAGGGTTTATGAACATTTACTCAACAATAGCGTGGGATGGTGCAAGCCAAAAAATAAATTATAATAACAATAAACCTTTTTTGGTTAAAGCCAGAAAAATCTTTTTTTTAAAAAAGAAAAAAAAAATCCATACTTTTGGGGGAAAAAAATCCATACAATAAATTCATAACATTTTCTTATTTTTTAATTATAAATTCTTAAAAAATAATTTTTACAAAATCTATTCTACAAAATTTTTTGAACATTAAAATTCGCGGATTCTAATTCATAATTAGCCCCAATTTGGGGTGATTAAAATTACATTTGTAGTAGACTTTAATAAAAACTGATACAATGTGTAATTAAAAAGTTGTGAATCAAATAAAATTGTGGTTAACATTAATTATTGACTTTGATTTATATTAAAACTTTAATTTTTACCAAATAAGGGCAATTAAATAAATAGGGTTAAATTAATATTTACAAGGATCCAACATGGTATAATTAATCTACTCAGCCCTGGAAATGGAACAAGGAAAATTGATAGGGATGATATGGCAAATTCTGATTTGTCTATTTGTTTTTAAAAAACTTCCATCTTCCAATAAATGAATGACAAATGTTGTTGGTCACTAATCCTTGTCAATATAGCATGGCTGAACATAGTAATTGAGGAAGCCGTGAGTTGTTTATAAATTAAACTTTTGTTAATATAATAACTAGCCTTGTAAATTATAAAACTGGTTTCTATTTCGTCAAAATTGAGCTGGTAAAGTTTAGGCAATACTGATCAAGATTTAAGTTTGACGTACTAAAACTATTTTTTTTCTTAGTCAAAACTAAACCAAATTGGTCAATTCTAGACCGATCAGATTGAATTTAGGCCTTATTTGAGCTGCATTCTTTAAATAAAAAAAAAACACACACACATTTTTAAACAGTGATTTGACATCATTTCAACCGCGCATTCTTCAATAAAATAATATTACACGCAAATTCAAAATTTTTCTTCATTTTTTAACCATACATTCTTTTAAAATAATGTGACCCAAACACACACTCAATCATGTTTAAAAAGATTGCTAGGGATGGCAATGGATTGAGCCGACTAGGCCCACGAGCTCAGCTCATGCTTGTGACGAGCCGAGCTCGAGCTCCTTACTTCGGCTCTGCTCGTTGCTCTCCGGGTGAACTCGGCTCGTGGGCTGAGCCGAGCTTGGACTCGTGAGCTCACATTTTTATTTTTTTAAAATGCTAAAAGTAGATAATAAAAAAAAACTATGTTTTTTAAATAAAAAATAAATAAATCGATCAAAAAGATTTGATTAAAATGATTTTTTTTCTTTTTCTTTTTAAAATAGATAACATAAACCCTTCTCCTTTATTCGGATTTGAGACCGGTTACTTAAATTTTGAATAGACGGAATTAAAAATTGTATACGAACAATTTATAACGTGTACAATTTTTTAAAGATAATTAAAAACAGTATTATAAAATAATAAATTGTGATTAGACTAGTATAATTAAATATCACTTGACAATATGCAATTTCGGCATATTTATCTTGTATTTGAAAATAAGCGTCATGTCAGTCCTTCACATACATTAATGTTTCTAAAATATCTTCTTTTAGTCGGCTCCTAGTCTGGGACAAAACTCTCTTACATGTACTAAAAGCAAACTTCGAAACTACAGTGTTAACCAGATATGTCAATAAATCTTTTGCGATTGCGAAAACTATTGGCCATCGTTATTTGTACATCCGCTAGAATTCAATAACATCTTCGAAAACTTTTTAAAATTGTTTTGTTAGTAAGCATATTATAATTAAAGTAATCAATTAATTCAGTAAGCAAAATATTTGCACTTCCGTCTCCGATGTTTGGGCCGATGGAGATGCAACAAACAAGTATCACTAGATGAAGATGAACATATTACATTTGAATTATACCTATACGTTCTAATGCCTTGAAATAAATTATATATTTCAACATTGTCTTCTTCAAGTTCAGCAGAAGGAGTAGGCACAGATGGTACTTGACTAATATTTGTACCCATAGTTATCAGACTCGGCCCGATCATCGACCTGAAAAAACCATCGATTCATTGGGTCAATGGTTCAATCGGGAGTTAGTGGTTGAACCGGTAGGTCAATGTTAGTTCTTAATTTTAATTAAAAATATTTTTTTAAAATAAAAAGAAAGTATAAATGTTATTTCATGTCATTCTAGTTAAACTAAATATATACATTTGACTCACATTATTTGTCGTAATGCTACATCTACCATTGTGGTCAAGGCTTCAACCTTTCAACAAGGTAATGAGGGTTCGATTCTCATTTCATGCAACTTTGTTATAAATTTTATTAGGTACAAACTTCACAAAAACGAACCGACTTTCGGTTCACTTAAACCTGCCCGATTTATGACATATATGAATCGGTTTGGGCGGTTCTTATTCGGTTTGATTGTAAATGGACCAAATTGTGCTAACCGGACCGGATCAGTGTCCAGTTCACCGTTTTTTGGGCAAAATCGGCCGGTCCGGTCCGATTTTAATAACTACGTTTGTACCCATTCGTTCAGCATATAATTCATACATTTCACTTAAAGCTTGTTCTAAATTTCTATATGTGATATGTGCACCCACAGTTAAAAGCTTTAAGAATTTGATCAATTATATATTTAGTTCCCAATAAATTATATTGGAGGTCTATTATGCATATTAAAGGAAATAGCATAGGTAAGTCTTCCTAGTATTTTCTAAACTTCAATTCCATAGAATATATAATTGCACTAAAATCATGATTATTTTTGTATTTATGAAAGGTCTTTGCAATTATATAAAGACGTTCTAGCACCATACAGTTAGTGGAATAGTAAACTCCGAATAAAATATATGTACTATCATAAAAAATTGTCAATTCTTTTTTTTTTTTTTTTTTTTTTTTACTTTTATAACTAGACAATCGGATTCGTTCAGAATAGTGTCATCATTGTTTCTAATTTTTTTTTTTTTTTTTTTTTACTTTTATAACTAGACAATCGGATTCGTTCAGAATAGTGTCATCATTGTTTCTAATATGTCTATTGTTGTAAGATTCAATTATTAAATGTTTAAAATCTTTATATGACTTTAACAATAAGTAAGTGAAGTTCAATCTATGATCTAAGTCACTAACAAATGTTTAAGAATTCGATTCCTCAAATTTGATGCAAAATTCCTCAAATATTTGTTTTCTATTAGGGAAGATCGTGATATATATTAGCGTGTTCTTAATTCTTTTTATTTCATCTTTAACGCGTTTCAAACCATTTTGCAGAATTAAATTTAAAATATGACACACACAATGAATATGAATCAAATAACCACCGAAATCATGCTGCAATACCCTACACAATTTATCGATAACTATTTTATTAACACTAGCGTTGTCGAATGTAAAAGAACGAATTTTACTTTCGCAACGATATTCTTTAATAATAGTCATAATTGCATTATATATTATTAGTGTTATGTGGGAATTCAACAATTTTAAATGTTTTTTATGCATATACCAAAGTAGGTCGATGTAGTGTGCAGTTGAAGTTATATAAGCTATTTAATTAATCTCCTCCCATATATTCAAAATTAAAGATATAGAACCACCATATTTTTGCAAATTCAAAATTAATTGGTGTTTTGTTTGAAGAAAATACTCTATTGTTGTGTCTAAACGAAGAGGATTTCGACTTATCCCAACATACCTCGATTGAAGATATTCTTTTACGCATCAGACAAAATGTTGGTTGTCCGCTATTACAAGAGGCAACTCAGCACTAACAATGAGTTTCACCATTTCTATTCGAGCATTCTTCTTTGAATACATCAATGTGGTGAAGGGCGGAGTTGTAATACTCGCGCCTAGACTACCAAATTGCAATTGTGTTTGACCGACTTAAAGAAGTCCATGTTTGGCCGCACACACTTTGTAATGACGGTTGAGGTGGGTGGTACCAATGCCTTTTTGCCATACCAATCGTTGTTGGCAGTATTTACATACTGCTTTAGACTATGGGACCCCATCAACAACACAACCCATCAAAATCAATTTGAAGTGATCCCAACATTTTGCTTGTTTTTCCTTTTCGTTTTCCTCTAGCATTGGGAATGTTTAATTCGAGTTCCTCCTCCTCTTGGGCTGCAGGAACATCGATGTCATCCAAATCAATTGGATTATTGCTGGGGTTTGACCCCCAATCCAAATGTGGAATATCTTTAGGAATTAGTACTTTATTTAGATCGAAAAATTGATTCTGATATCTATTTTGCGGCGTCATAGGTGATTCGCCTTCAACACCGAACAAACCCTCGATAAATGAGCGTTGATCAATTTCAATTTGTGAAGATACCATATACATTAATACATGATATATGAAATGATTGAATTGTAAAAATGAATTGAAATTGAAGATGATTAAATTGTAAAAAATGAATCTATATAATATGAATATATTTTATAATTGTAGATTAATTGAAAGTTGAGACAAATCAATTAAGACTTGAGAGCAAACGAGAGATTGAGAGAAAGAGTATTGAGAATCTTGAAATAATGAAACTTGAGAGTTGATGAAAAATGTTAGGCCAATTGTGCCTACTTATAGAAGAGGGGGGAAGAGAAGAAGGAGAGAGAAAAAATTTGACTGAAACGGTCACTTATTATTTGTAAAGTGACCAAAACAATCACTTTTTTATAAAAAGTGACCGTTTTGATCATTATTCAAGACGAGCCACGAGCGGCTCGGCTCGAGCTATTTTTTTTACGAGCTCGAGTCACTCAGCCCGTTTGCCACACCTAAAAATTGCTCACCCCATGTCTCACTATCTCCCCAAAGAAGCAAAGTTTTGGACCATGGAAGGTTATCAATTATAGACCAATTTATATGCTTTTCTATGAAATATATTTACTTTAGCCTATATTTGAATTATGTTCAGTGGCGGATTTAGATGGTGGCCCCCCTAACTGAATTTGTCGGAACCGCTGAAGAAAATTTTCATTTTTTTTAACAATAGATTTAAATTTTTATGTTATATTACTTTCATTTTCAAATATCTCTTACAGCTTAGCTGGTTAGAGCTTGTTTGTGCATATTTGAAGATTTGGGTTCGAATCTCTTACTAATAATTTTGTTGTATTTTATTTTTATTCGACAATTTTTATCAAAATTTAATAGGGAGGGGAACAAATGGAATTCAAACCTGTGACCACTTGCAAAGGTTGCTATAAACTTAATTATTATGGCACTTTTTGAGTTGTGTCTTTAAATCTAACAAAATAATATTTGTTAGGTTTTAATGCAAAAACAATTGTAAAGATTCAAATCCGCACTCTTCCTTTGAATTATACAAAACTCGACAATAATGTCATTTAATGAATCATATTTATTATTATAACAGAATTATATATATTCAATTTGAGCAAAATAATTGTTTTATTTAAACTTTAGGCCTTGTTCGATTCCTTTTTTTTTTCAAAATACGTATTTTTCTTTTCTTTTCATTCACACATTTTTCAATAAAATAATATTACACGCAAATTCAATTTCTTTATTTTAGCCAAGCATTCTCCATCAAATCACTATTTCAAGATGCATTTTTTGCAAATAAAAAATGGGTATTAAACAATCTTAGGCCTTGTTCGAGCCACCTTATTTGAAAAAAAATACATTTTCAACAGTGATTTGATATCATTTCAACAAACATTCTTTAATAAAATAATATAACATGCAAATTTAAAATATTTTCTTATTTTTTAATCATACATTTTCCATCAATATACTATTCAAAAATATATTTTCATTCAAATAATGTGGCTCAAACAATGTTTTAATATTTTATTGTGGCCGACGATAAATGGTCAATGACCGGCCATGATAACTCAAACTCCTGAATTCGCCCTTGGTCATGCTTATAAACACAAGCAACTTTTTATCAACATATTTCAAAAAATTCATTAGTATTACTCAATTATCGATAACTTGTTTTTATCAAATGCTTGTAATATTTGTACAAAGTTAAAGTCAGCAAATAACTCTGAAAGTACGAGGGTGTAGGAAAAAGACTTTTCATTTAGCCGTAACAGATGCCGCTTAATGTTAAATTGCAGGGAAGATTAGGAAGCCCTCTTGGGAGGTGCCATATTGCGCACAAGAGAGGAGGTCACACCGATTGTAACTGTCTGCACAATTACTTCTGCAAAGTAGATGGTGCATTTTCAAAATAATTTAAGAATAACCATGTTGAACATAAGGATTATAGCCAAGTTTAATGAGCATACCAAGCAGAACAACAGCAACCTTGAACATCTTAGCCATCGATGTCTCCCACTTACTGAAATCTTCGATGAGCTATTCCACATAAGCAAGGTAATGTAATAATGTATTAATGATATTAATATTACATTACTATATGTGCATGTTACTGAAATAAACCTCTCTAAGCTTTAATGTTCCTATTCTTCTCAATTCTGCGAAGAACAATTTTCAGTTTAATTCTGCGAAGAACAATTTTTAGTTTGAGAACAGAATATTCACTTACAAACTTGGAGAATGGCGTTTCTCATTGGTATAATAACTAACATTATTTCCCTCTCTGTAACTCGCATTATCGACATCAAAACAATATACGATTGAAGAGAACTCTGGACTATTTTTACCTCAAATAATTTTTCACTCTTGACAAGAAAGGCTACTGAGATTAGAACAGCAATTGACGAGCAAAACAAATATAGCTTCAGAAAGATGACACGGCTTCGCTTTC